AAATTACGAGTTAAAATTTCTAATTGGTTTTTCCTCGATATCTCCTGATCCGCGCGCTTTCGTGCGAGGCGCATCGGGAGCAAAGTTCGTCCTCTCATCAAGGTGAAGGTTTTGAGATATTTTTTGAGAAATTCGAACGGCTACAAAGCGAGATATGGAATTTTTTGTATTTTTTGATTAAAAATTCCAAAAATTTTGATTTTCATTTTATTGAAATGGTCGGGAAAATAAGCAAAACTAGGGGAACCCCGCTTGGACCAAAGTTGGTCTCTGTATTTTTCCCGACATTTTGAGATCCGAGTCGGGGAAAACGGACTTCGTTTGGACAAACGGCGAGCTCCAACAGATAGAAAAGGTGGAAGAAAATCAACGGGAAATTGAATTTCTTTGTAATTTTATTTAAATTACAAGAAAAAGGAATTTAAAAATGTAGTCCAATAAGTTTTTCTTCTAAAACTAGTGAAAGCTAACAAAAATTTTCTCGCGTCAAGCGGGGCTTTGCGGTGTTCGTGCGGTTGCGCGCAAAACCCAAAACCCTAATTAGTGGAAACCCTAATTAGGGAGAAGTCTGAACCCCAATTTTGAGAGAAGCGGACAGATAAAGGGAAGCACTAGCTTCTAGCTTCCGCATTTGTTACCGATTATTTTTTGTCAAATATATCCCGTAAGATTGTGGAAATTAATTCGGGAAGTTTTGCCCCATTAAGTAATTAAAAATTATTTTACTTTTGATTTTTGTTATTTAAAATCGATTAAAAAAATTAAAATAAATATTAAAAATTGCGTAGGGGCATTTGTTTGACTTCAATGCTCTTCATATCTACTTTACCTATTTGAGGGACTTTTTTCCAAACCCCATCTCACCGGGGGGGAAGGAAAACTGCTGTCGAAATTTCTGAAAATTTCCCTTTTAATTTAAATTTTTGCTAATTAATTAACAAAAATATTTAAAAATCGAGTTATTATTTTTTTTTTTTTTCCCATTATTCCTTTTGATATTCCCTCTTCGTCAGCGCTGTTTGAGGGCTGCGCCCGAAACCCATCCCATGGGGAGAGGCGAAACACTGCCGAAATTTTAGTAAATTCCCCAAATTTTATTTCTACCCCTAAAAATCATCAAACTCGGCGGCCTTATATATGTATTGATCCTTAAGAAATTTTATCTTAATTAAATATATTTTCTTTAATTTATAATTGAAAAATACAAAAGAATTCCCTGAAAAGAAGGGAAAGAGACGCTGCGGTAACCTGGTTTCGGGTGAACCTACTAGTATGTTCCCGAAGGCGTGAGGCAAGCGACGAGAATTTTCAGTTATTAATCTACACCTCCCTCTTGCTGCGTTCTCTCTAGCCACCAGTTGAATGTGGCCGCGGGTGCAAGTAGAGGTCTATGGGGCTACCATTGACTGGGACTTGGAGCCCCCTGAACTCATAGAGGGGGATCTGGTCGAGCTCGCGATCCCCGGGCGCAACATTCGACACGTTGATGGCCAGTTTGCGTGGAGGTCCATAATCTTGTCCGAGGACGTGTGGCTTTGGACGTACAGAGAGCACCGGCCGGGGCAAGGAGTGGGCCTAGTGAGAACCTACTTGTATTTGGGACCAGGTGCGGTCAGGGAGGCCGTGGTGGGCCTCGCGACGACAGGGACGAGTGACACAGTTAGCAGGGCGTTACGCTACCTAGGGGAARAGGTAGCTGCCTTCCKAGSRGAGGACTCGAGYGACCCGTTGACCMTATTTCAMGGACGCCCTCCTCTTGATATCACGGGCGAGCTGGTGGTAGCACGGGACGGGTTTTTCCCGTACAGCGTTAGGAGCCTGCGGGCGATAGTTCCGACGTTCGTAGTAGAGAGCGTCTTTGGAGGTATTGCTGGAGTGGTCAAGACATACCTGGCCTATCAGAATCTCAAGATCCTGGCGAGAAGGCCTGCCGACCTAGACTACATCTAATATTCGCTCTCAACCGGTGGGCCTCGTTGGGGAGACGAGAGGGTTCAGCATATAGAGCTGATCCGCTCGATAGATGACGAGTGACCCCAGTTTCCGTGCGTTTGGGATTGGCTAGACCGTGAGCTCCGAGCAGGCCCCGCGTACGTGACCTGCATCGGGCGGCTCTTCTCAAACGACTGGGAGAGCCAGACGACTGGGAGAGTTGGTGGGAAGAGGACGCCGGGCGACCTCTGATATACGGCCATCAGTTGGCGCAATACTACCAGGGTATAGGACAGGCGCCATACCGCGTCGAGGACAAGTTTGACGACGAGGGTTGGGAGCGAGAGGATGACGAGGACGCCTAGGAGCCAGACTGGGTCGACCGAGAGAGTGAGGTTGACGAGGAGGAGATTGACGTTACAGACGCCTATTTTCCCATGATAGGAGTAGCAGTCCGGGCGTAGGAGGTAGAGGAGCACCTTAGGGCGACGGTTGAGTGAGCTTAGCTACTGATCCTACTCGACCATACTGGACCTGAGTGCGAGAGTTGTCTGAAGGGTTAGCAACGTCGAGAGATGGGGTGCATCGAAGAAAGTTGAGTGATGCTGACCGAGAGTAGGAAAAGAGATGAGGAGTGATTTAGTGGCCTGGTTAGCTTATGTTCTCTCACGAGAGTCCGAATCGTATAGTGAGAGGAAGCTTGTAGGACCCAGAGAGACGGCGGTTGGATACGACATTCCACTTCTTGTGGCGTTAGAAGAGGCAGAGCGTGTACCGATACGATACTTAGGAACGTGGCTCGCAGAGGGGCTCTTCCTCTGCACAGTGATACTACGAGACGAACGACCCGAGAGGACTCATGATCTAGAAGGGGTCGGACATCTGATAGCAGAAAGAGCACACGACTTAGAGATAGGACTAACGTTCGCAGGGGTGAGCAGGAGTTGGTGGAGAAGCGAGTCGTTGGCCAGAGTGATCGTTAATCAGCAATTGGCGAGACTCTCCGGAGGGAGGACGAGTTGGATCTGCTTGGTATACGGTCCACCACAACCGACCCTCTACCAGAGAAAGGATTGCAATTCGGACTTCCTACCTTCGTGATAGGGCAGACCTATGGGAGCGTGGATCGTTTGGGTAGAGCAGTGGACCACACACTTTACGCGCTCTGGGAGGGCTTAGCGCCCGGCTTCAAGGAAGTATACTACGCCATTTGTGTGAGGTGGGGGCCGCCCAGTAGAGAGACGCTTGACGACATCATAGACGTTACTAGCTGGGTGGACTGTCTGAGGCCAATCGATCTGATTAGGTACTGCAGGAGACGGGCAGAGATCGATTACGCGGGGCTAGAGGATGTGAGATTTCTCTTCGAGGCCGCARCTTAGGGAATGCCGGGAAGGACGGCCACGGTGATGCGTGTAGGAGAGCAACTGGTAAGCGCAGGATACACTGTGACAGTACTTCTCCGAGCGTACGTAGACGAGGACTTGACAGCGAGTGAGTGAAGACCACGAGCTAGGGATTTGATCCACTAGCGTAGAGCTGATGTACTGGCGCGAGTGACCTTCCAGACCTCGATTTCCTATGATGTGATGATATGGTCTCATGGTTATATGCGCGCGGAGCACTACCACGATGAGACGGTAGCG